AAGTCCAATTGCTTTGATATTACATACATAGGTACTACATATGGACCTCTCTCAGATTTGTTCATTTTGTAATGATATCTTCAATTCTCTAATTTGGGTGAATATTTTTGGTAAAAAGTGATATTTTCAACCTCTTGTTAAAAACAGCAAGTCCAATTGCTTTGATATTACATATATAGGTACTACATGTGGACCTCTCTCAGATTTGTTCATTTTGTAATGATATTTTTAATTCTCTAATTTTGGTGAATATTTTTGTCATTTTTGGTAAAAAGTGATATTTTCGACTTCTTGTTGAAAACCGCAAGTCTGATTGCTTTTATATTACATATATAGGTATTACATGTGGACCTTGTTAATTTTGTGGTGATATCTTCAATTACTTAATTTTGATGATTATTTTTGTCATTTTTGGTGAAAAGTGATATTTTTGAATTCTTGTTGAAAACAGCAAGGTCTGTTGCTTTGATACTATACATATTGTTCATTTTCTAATGATATCTTCAGTTCTCTAAGTGTTGCATGTTATATAATTTTGAAATGGCAGTAGAATCCCAGTGACTTTTGACCTTTAGTGTATTTATTTATTCATACCAAATCCTGATAGTGCTGAATAAATCTAGAAAATTTGTTAGGAAAAAAAAACATTACAGAAAACCCCAATCGATGGAATCGTCTTCGAACAAATATGCAATTGTATGCATATTATGATCACTAATTCCCCATTGTTTACCTAGACACGCATTCTGACAAACGAACCAAGAGTTTCCTAACTGTTTTTCTAGTAACTGTGATTGGACTGACCTCCAGAAATAATATACATAACAAGGATATCCACTTGCAAAACTCTGAATATTAGCACTTCTCATTTAAAAAAAATAATATAAACACGACACCATGTTATATAATTTTGAAAGGGTAGTAGAATCCCTGTGACCTTTGACCTTTGATAAATCTTTATAGATTTTTTTTAGAATTCTATCAAAAATGTAGCTTTTTATCATCACTTAATGTTATTATTTTTAAGTCTGTAATAAAATCTTGTGATGTGAAATAAATACATTTCGTTAACATACAAACATACTCTTCTTTTATAAATCCTTGATATAGGATACAACCAGAGTTAGCAGGCTCCTCTTGAATATAAAGTGCTGCCTAAAATAAAATCTTTATCTAGAGAAAGAATTTATATTCCATAAAATTCCACATATGAGCTGCCCAATCAAACAAGCAATCTATAGATTGAGAGTCACAAACTTATCTATAAGTGCATTTAGCATTTCTTGCCCAGCCAGAATTTCCACTCGGCGTCTTTCTTTTGCTGAAAGTCTCCAAAGATAGCTGGTATGAATGGTATGTCAGCTGATAACTGACATCAAAATCTGTTAGCTGTGGGTGTATTCAAACACTGTAAAGTTCAAACCTCGCCATTGGTCGTCTTTTCTTCAGTACTTAGCTCAGTCTGGTTACATGCCCAAAATCAAAACTGTCTAATCTATAAATATGCCTTTAGGGTTTATATCTTAGAAACACATTTTGTTTAACTTGAACCATGTTGTGTCCAAACTAAGGACACATATCAGACTCTGAAACTGGGCATTCATTTTGATTGTAATGACAATTGAATTCAATGAAAGCGAATAAAAATGTGGGTCAACAATTGCCGACCTAAACTAAATGTAACAAATTTTCTCTAACTTTTATGACCTTGTGTGCAGGTTTTTTCATCACCTAATGTGCACAATTTCTGTAACACAGGGATAGTTTAGATAGATGGACACATATAGTTCAATGCAATGTCATCCAACAATCTTACATATCTTATGACTTCACACATGAACTAAGTGAAATCATAGTTTTAGATACAACAAAAATAATGCTTGGTACAGGCACTCATCAGCAATGGTTCAGTGCTAAACATGACCTTCTGAATGCACCAATGCAGATACACGGTTAGTACCATAAAATCTGTATTAGGAGCCGCATCCCTAATAGAAATCGCACCATTCTTTTTGAACAATTGAAAATCACATTTTCTCATATGTGTAGATGAGAAAATAGAAGCTGCATCTCCTCTGTTGCATTGTACCATTTTAATAGAAACCGCAGCTTCTAATACAGATTTTACAGTAAGAGGAGAAGAGGACAAAAACTTACACACCACAGCAAGGTCGGTAACGATATAACAAGAGGAAGAAAGAGAATACTCTTCAAATATATAGTTGTAAAATATTACACAAATAAACTGGCCAGGAAAATAATAGATTCCATAAATTAACAAGCATGGTATAATAATTAAAAGCCCAGGACTGACTACTGTGAGTGTATGAATGTCTGAATTTCTTGACGAGTGTCATGTTGTGATGCGTGTTAGCAAAATACAGCAGCCATTGTTATTTGTTGCCAGAGGGAATTGCATGTAACAAGTAACTGGAGTTCACACGTTGGTATATCGAAAATCCACCTTCACAACTGTATCACGAGGTTCTTTTTCTCGATGGACATCAGACGATGTTACATGTCAGATTTGGCTTGATCGGCTCACCAGATATCTGGGTCCCTTGAATCATTGACTTTTCTCGCTAGTCATAATTCTGAGCAGAAACCCTATGAAAAATGTGTCTATTTTTGTCCCAATCTTCTGAAGGCAAATGCAGATTATTAATGGGAATATTTTGTGAATATGTGATGAAAAGAGGGAAATGGTAGTGACAAGGTTAAGCAACAACTATGATTGTTACGTTCACATGACAGCATTTTATCGGAGCCCAATGGCTCGAGCCGGCTCGAGCCAGCAAAAATGCCCGTGTGAACGTGAGCCAAGTTCTGTTCCACTAAACCCTTGGAGTTGAACTCCAATAGGGTTGAGTCCTGACATGGCTCCGATCGTGTCAGCGCATCGGGGCCCAACTATCAGAGCCGAAATCACGCCCTCAATCGTCTTCTTCGAGTAACCTCTCATTTCAAGACAACATCTTTCATAATTTCATGCAATTTCCGGCTTGAATAAGAGGTACGCGTCCTAATATATAGTAACAAATTATTGCGATAGATTAATAGCTCAACGGGAAACAAAAAATGGCGTACGAAATTATGCGACAAAAAC